ATCATTTTTTCACTGAAACCATGGGAATTAGAGCTTTGAACTTTCTGCCCTCATCTGGTAAGATTATCACCAAAACCGGAGGCAGATGTAGTTTTTTTTCAGTCTTAAGTCCATTATTTAGTTATAATTTTTTTCTTTTAAAAAGCCCATCCCTCCTCCCTCTCTCCCTCTCTCTTACGTTACCTTCGGGGAGGGGCATAATGACACCGCATGGGTAACAAATAAAACCATGATATCTTAAAATTCGTAAGGGACGAAGACATGAGGAGAGAATTGGAGGTAGGTACCCACGGTTAGAGAAGTAATTGCTGAGACAACGGAGAGATATGAATGTCGTCTTGAAAAACATGTCAATGAAGAGGTTGTAGGTAAACCTCTTAGATAGTACAATATTAGTGAAAAGATTAAAAAGATGGAAGACCTTTGAACTCCCATCAAGATTTACTTTGTAAGTAGTCTGTGAGGTATGAATGAGAGTGTGAATGGAGTGCGAAACTAAGAATGTGAAACAATTAAACTAAAAACCTTCATGTTTTAATATCTCTAAAAAAAAGGCAGAGAATTTTACAATTCCTGTTTTTTTAGATAGGTAATCATCGTCGCGTTATCTAACGTTACCTTGTAAATTTAATGCAATTCGTTTAGTTTTAGTTTTAAACCATTTAAATACAGACAAGAAAATACTTGTAGTAGTTACGTTATATTTAAATAAAATTCCTTGAAAAAAAAAAAAAAATCTTAAAATTCCTAAGCTCTAAAACCTCGCTGCGAGTTTCAAATTCTACTTTGGGGGCGGTCTTAGCCCATCTCTCCCTCTGGTTATGACCTTGTTCGTAGCTTCTCTCCTAAGCTGATTTTAGGTATAACACGTGAGTCTTACCAAAAACAGGGTGCACAGCGGAAGCAGGTAAAACTTCATGGCGACTAGTGTGTCGAGGTGGGAATAGGAAACTGAAGATAAGAGGATAGGTACACTTTCACTCTGACGCTAAAATTAAAATATGTCCGGCTTTTTATATGATTTTTTTCTGCCTGTTTTTTTCAATGTCTTACAGTTGGTAAAATATTTGCACAGTTGCTGGAATATTTTTGAAGCATCTAAATTAAATGTGTTTGGCACGGCCTAGAAGAGGTCGTATGCTGTACCTAACACTCATGTTATTCAGGTGAAGCATCAAGGTCATTTCAGCGCAGCGTCCGTGAGTGATTGATAAAAAAATATAGTGTTATTGTGTGGCGAAAGTAATGCGAGTCCATTCAGGGTGTCCCAGACTCGTGACTGTTCAATTTCGCCCCAATACGATCCAAGAGAAAAACAACCCTTGAGCAGCGAAAGGGGTGGTAAAAGACAACGCAAACACTGAAACAAAAAAAAATAATATTTTGAACGTCCCCCTTTACATCATTCCGCGGCACAAAAATAGAATGAACGGCTTATAACTATCCGGCTTATAATTTATCCGTCAGGATTCACAAGAGACCGGCCTCGATCTAAAAGTCAGATTCGTTTTTTCCGACCGGACTACATGTTGCAATACGGGACTACCATCTCTGGTTCCCCACAGAGGCACCTACCTGCATAGAAACCTATTGACGCATGAGTTGTTTCTGAATTGAACTTGGAATAATAGGTCCCACTTCAAAATTTCCTTTCTAACTTAGCTCGCTGAAATTACTCTCATAGAAAATGTGCATCCATGGCTTCACCGCAAAAAAAAGTGAAGTTGATTTAACATACTAGATGTAAAAGAAGTGTGCACGAACTTATGAAGTGCTTAATTATCCTTCTTAGCAGTTAGTTTTACATCTTGTAGCTGCTGTAGCGGGTATTTCAGCATTGTATACAATCTCGCATACCTTTTTTTACATCCTGAATGTTAAATCAACTTCACTTTTTTTCGGTCTCTGGTCTTTTTTTTACCAAAGACGGCCACATAAGTTAAAAACCTCACGTTTTCTTATGAATTAGATCATACGGAATAAATCCTCCATAACGCGATTGCTACGTGCATAATCCGGGAATATGTCATTCGTCAAACTCCAATCGCGCGCGTCTAGACTGATCACGTCGCGACGAAGCGATGTGAGAGTTCTTTCCACACGTAACATGGCGAATTTAATCGGCTCACGTACTCTCGGCGGCCTAATGCATTTTCGCATGGTATTATGATATTAGCAGACGTATAGATCCATCTGTTTCCGCCTGATTTAATAAATGCCAACGAAATTGATGAAACCTCAACCTGCTAGTGTGCGAGTTTTTAGTTTTCTCGTAGATACCGCTTACGGTATCCTTACGTGGTCCATGGGCATTTTATTTGGTATTTTTAAGAGTTGATGATGCCGGTCAATCCTCGGAAGAAATATAAAATGAGGGAGCTTTTTCCGCACATAGTTGAGTCACCGATGATTAGCCGCACTCAGCTCGAAACACGTCTGCCGCTGAAGAAAAATTCGTCGCAACTGAGTCAATATTTTGTTTTAAAACATTTTAATCCTCGGAAGAATTGAGATGACAAAAAAATTTCGCATAAAGTTCTGTATTTATCCCTGATCAGAATCGAATCTAATGAGCCTACTGCAAACTTCAGCTAAAGCAAAAAGGAAAGTCTGTTTATCTGAATTCGTCACCGGGAAAAAGCTCTTAGATCTAGAGTTCAGACTGTTAAACAATTGGACAAGAAAAAATACTGTTGATTCCATTGGAATTTTGCCTGAATCTAGAGGCAAGCCTCTTAATATAAGCGGATTTCCTTTTGATTGTACCAAAAATTCGATTGAATCAAGAGTATTTTGTCTTGTCAAATAGTTTAAGAGTCTGGACACTAGATCCAGGGGAATGTATTTTCCAGTGCTTGTAGGTTTGACTCTGAAGGGAGTAGTATCCGTATTTTTTGAGATAAACTATCTGTTGTTGAATCGGATTTTTGGAGGGTTTTTGTTCGATATATTTTTAAGCTAACGTAAAAACGGTTAATACTAACGTAAAAACGGTGAAAACTTTTGTAGTTTTGTTGTATTTACAAAAAAAAAAAAAAAAAAAAAAAAAAAAAAAAAAAATTAAACAGCGGTACTACCTCACACGGAGAGTGGAAAAGTATTTTAAGTGTCAAGAAGTTTCTTTGAACCCAGACAAAGAGGTAGGTACTTAAAGTAAATGTCGTTTCTGACATCAGTATGATTTTATCGGTATTATTTTTGCAAGATTTGTCGAGGCGACAGCGTCGAGCCCCCGATGATACCTGATAACGGATGTGGGTGACGGGCCCCCATAGCTGTCATGTCAGTTGTCACTCGAGTGATTGAAGGCTCGTCTTATCTTCTTATTGTTTTTCCCAACTCTCTTCAACAAAGACTTGTAAATTAGAACAAACAACCATTATCAAATCCAAGAATACATACGGTAAAAAAGGATTAAGGTGCATGGTTCAATATCACATAAGAAACTGTGGCGTGCTTTGCGATATATCGATCGATCAGCCATTTCAATCTACGGCGAAGGATCGATACACAGGGTGTTTGCAACGGACACCTTAATGATCGATTCTTTACCATAGCTCCAAATGGGGAAATATCGATAATCGATCATTCAAGCCAAGCTACTGTTTAGAAAGTTATTCGAAAATAATTCCATTGTCATTCGAGCGATTCGTAAAATCTGGATTTTCAATTTTTTTAAAATAAGATCCTCGTATTCACATTACGCTGGAGAGTATAGGGCCGCGTCGAAGACTTCTGTTGCACATTTTTTTTACATAAAATAACCCTAAAAGCACGTTCCAGCCACATGGAGAAATTCGAAGGATAAACAAGTTTCAAATGTTTATGCAGGATGTACTTTTGGGGCTTTTTTCAAGAATTTTCTGTATCAATATCTGAGCGCCTGATAAATAAATTGGTCATTTCAAAAAGATTCTAACTCCGGGGGGGGGGGGGGTGCAGAAAAAGGAAAAACGTGATCATTGGTAAATTATTTTACTGCATGTTGTTCGGCTCTCTAAAAGTCGCTGCCGAAAGTATGAAACCTTTTTGGTTCATTAATTGTGCAGCATAAACGTTCTTGAAGCTTTGGTTGGGCATTTTTTCGAAAATATGCATTTTGCGACTATTTTTTAATGTAAAGTAATAAAAAAAATTGGGGACAAAATGAAGACGCGTGTGATCTCGAAGACCATTTTTTCGTAACGAAAACACGAAAAAGGCAGTTATTACAACTAACGCCTCGTAAATATGCTCAAGGTACCCTTCAGTAGTCACGATATAAATACCCTGCTAGAAAATGCAACTATCCGATAGATCCGTTGGTTAAAACAACGATAGCGGTAGTTCTCGGGTTGTACAACTACAGTTGTTGTAATCACAGTTTGTGTCATTCACCAAAGTAGAGACATCGTAATGTTGGCGCAGTATTAGCCGCTAGTTTTGGCAGTTATCCTGGTTTTTCCTCGAAGGATGTTCTATTTGTTTTTGGCGTTAGGCAGTCCGTGAGGCAAGACGTTCATATTCCGTATTGTCATTTTTTTAGATGAAAATATAAATTTCAAACGATTATTGGTGAGAATTGCTTGTTCTACCAATATTCAAGTGGAGGAAAAGGGATGATATCAAGTTAAAAAAAATCGCCATTCCCAAGGTTTTCTTAAGCCATTTTGCACCCAAAGAAACCTGACAATGGAATTTGGTTTATGAATTCCGGCTAAATTGCAAGTTTTCTTGTCGACGAAAGCTCTTTTTTGCATTTTATTTTATTGCTGAAGGAGAGCAAACATTTTTTAAAATCATCGGAAAGCTACATCAATTTTACATGCACTTGAACTTTCCTCAAAATTGAAAATGACTGACAAATAGAACATCATCTCTATTTTAAGTGTGTGCACATGCTTCTTCACTAAATATATTAAAGAGGTTGATATCTTTAACAGGCTCGCTCTTGAAACTTTGAGATGGCACTCGAATTTTCAAATAATTATAAAAGAAGCAAAGTCATTGAGCGGCGAGCTCAAACACTTCAGGAACACCATCGAGCACGGACCATTGAGGAATCGGAAGATCGGAAGCCTTTAAAAGAGAGGCCCAACGTAAGTGACTTGGATTTCATTTCTTTGGTACTTTGTAGAGTGCGCTCTTAGCAATTTTTTGCAAGGGTAGATGGACATTGTCTGTGTCTCTTGTAGAAAAAATAACTTCTCCGTGTTTTTGGAACGGCGTGACATATTAGATGTAGCCAAAAGATATCGTTTTTCTTTCAGAAACGAGGTTATGCTTGATAGGCTTCAAGACGAGTTACACGGAATCAAAACTTCGGGCATGAGGCCCGAAGTTCGGAACCCGAAGTTTCCGAATCGTGCACCCAAAATATAATTTGAGGTCCAGCTGCCGAAATTCGGATCCCACACCTGAAGTCTGATTTTTTTATCCTTTCTTTAAAAGTTGACAGCAATATTATTGATACAATACAGATTGGAATTTGGTCTCAATCAGCGACTTAACCCGAAATGAGAAGTTTCCAATTTACAAAAGTCTCTGCTGTGGAAAGAACGCAAAACTAGTTATCTCATTAGAAACTAACATGGTGTGCCTGAAAAGTTTTACGAAGCACAGAGCTTACTTGCTCACGTCAGAAGAGTAATGAAAAGTAAATTAAACAGGTCGCAGCTTATTTTTTTGTTCGTGGCTAAAATTTCCCCGTCCAAATTTAAAATTATCTACTTAACTTTTCAAGACTCAAGTTCCTGAAAAGTGTACGCCGGTGCACTGAAGTCCCTAAAAACGTGGACGATCACAATTGAATCAGTTGCTTTCAAAAAAGGAACAGGTTAATTTCTCGACGAGTCACAGTTAGCATGTCCTTTCGTGCAAGCCGAAGCTCATTCAAAAATGGACTTGTATCTTTGTGAAAAAACTGATTCAATTATTATGAGTGGTCTTCCTCTTTGTATCTTCGAAGCTTCCGTAATGATCCTTAAGAGCCTTCATGAGAACATAGTATTTTTAGTCTGTTGCAGAATACCAGTGGAAGCATATTTTCTTTGAAAGATTCTCAAAAACGCAAGAATAAAAGTCCTCAAGAATGAAGCGTGGAGCTATTCTGTCATTTTTAGTATTCTCCGCCTTCAATGATGTTGTTGTATTAGGCCGCAGTGGCGGGGAACCTAAGTTGAAAAAGCCCGATTGGTGGGAGAACACGCTTATATACCAAGTATACCCGAGATCGTTCAAAGACTCAAATGGCGACGGAATCGGTGATCTGAATGGTATAATTTATGGATATCATCATTAACTTATACTATCATCAATGACATTAATATGATATAAATTATGAGACAGCTCGTGCACTAACTGCCAATGTCCATTTTTGAAGCGTAAAAAAACTGCAATAACTATACAAGTCTTATTAAATAATTCCCAAAAGTTAACCACCGGACCCTCATTAAACATTTAAACCTCCGGCCCTGAATTTCCAACCCTTCAGAACCCTCAGAAAAATAAGTAACAAAAGTAGGAAAAAAAGATATCAGCGGGCTTTCCCCAATTCGAATTAATTGACTTTCGAAAATCGGCTTAATTGGTCTGATGAATCTGTGTAACTTAATTTTGCTCACTCTTTAATTCAATTCATTATTATTGTTCTCCTACAAAGCACATTTTCTTTTATTTAGTTGTGCTTCGTTGTTAACTATGTGTCATTCCATTAGTTAAGTGTTGTTACGCCTCTGAAAATGGCATGAAGTGCCGGAAGGCTTTCTGTTGGCCTTGTAAATGTAATGAAACAATTTTGCGATAGAACGGGGTGGAATTTTCATTTCTTTTTCATTTCGGAAAAACTTATCAGAAATAATTGAAACCTCCAAACATAAATAAAACATTTTATATCAATATGATCTGATGAAAAAAATGATGGAAAAAAGTTGTTCCGTTTCTGGCTTATTTTGTGGAAACATCACCCATATTTCACACCTAATAAATGATGGTTACGTTTGTGTGTATTTGACACTAGGTATCCGGGAGAAACTGGATTATGTGAAAGGACTGGGTGTAGATACCGTGTGGATTCAGCCTGTTTATAAGTCGCCCATGGTCGATATGGGTTACGACGTTGAGGATCACAAAGTTGTCGATCCACTGTTCGGTGACATTGAAGATTACAAGAAACTTCTTGCTGCAGCGAAGGAAAAAGGTATGGTCAACTTGCCATTCTTTTAACTTTCCATCTCTTCTAAATTTGTCAAGTCTACTTCTTTCGAGCTTTTGACTTGCATTTTTCCGTACTGGTAGATTTTTGAAACAGTGATTTTTCGTCAAAATGATCTCGATCTAAGAGGATACACCGGCCGATGTTTCTCAGTTGATTATTGACGCCATTCCATAAATATTTAACTCTTTTTATGCGAGAATACACTACACATTTTTAAAAAAAATATTACTCCCTCTTGGTATGTCACCAAAAATACAGTTTTGCACGGAGACATTCGAATTATGAACTGGTATGTATGGTAAGTATGGCATGTATGTTGCCTATGCGGCGAAATTGAAGGCGAATCTTAAGTGAACGATATATACACTGCATTTTGCAATAAAAAACCACAATTTCTGGCTCTTAGATAAAAACACTTGTATACATAGGAAAGTTGATGACACATATACGGCGTAAGTCCGCAATCACACATCTCGTTCGCGGTGTCTGAAAATCTCCGCCTCTATGTTATTTTTTAAAGGAGAGCAAATTGACATCATTCTTTGAAGTTTTTGCAGAATTTCCTTCGCACAGAGGAGATAAAGCGCGGCAGTTTTAAAGAATCGCCGTCGAGTAGTTTTCCGTTTAAAAAATTAAGTATGACAGGAAGTCTGCGACGTCGCAAACCGAGTTATGTGATTGCCGACTTACATCGTCGATATGTTATTTCTGACACGAGCTAGAAAGTACAATTCCTAATTGCAAAATTTAGTCCAATGTAGGTTGATTTGCGCATATTCTATTGCCTCTATCGAGGCTCTAAGAGCGGTGACAATGCTTTGGTACCTCTCTTACTCCACTTTGCAAAATGATATTTATTGAATGAATGGTGTTAAATACCCATGGTTTTCAAAATTGTATCAATTGACACTGCGCTTGCAGGGCTGAAACTCATTATAGATTTCGTCCCAAATCACTCGAGTGATTTAAGTGTCTGGTTCAAACTTTCTGAGCAACGGATCGAGCCCTACACGGATTACTACGTTTGGAGAGATGCGAAACCTATAAACGCAACTCACTCTACAGTTCCAAATAACTGGGTAAGTTCATCAAAAGATATTACGGAAAGGAAGATTTTTAATCGTTCGACTCTTGTTGCTATCATTCCGCACACCTAATCCTAGGTATAAACTCAACTAACTAATGGATATGATGCTACACGGAAATAAATTAAATGTTGATTTAGCATTTATACTGTTAAAAAGATGTCCGACAAGTTTCAAATGCTGATTTTATATTTTAACAAATGCTAACGTAACTACGCCCACTGCAAAACGTACAAATTAAAATGTTATGTTATGTGCATTTTTGTATTGTAAAATCAGCATTTGAAACTTGTCGTACATCTTTTTCACAGTATAAATGCTAAATCAACATTTCATTTTTTTCTGTGTAAGATATGAAAATAATGATAGTATAATATACAGTACTTTTATACAGCATAAGGCTGAGTGGTGGCGGCTCGGGCTGGCGCACAGTAGATCGAGTCAATCAGAGAGTTCGGACATGAAATTTTTAACTGAAACTGCAAATTCTAATGTTTTTTTCTTCACATTTTAAATTTCAAGCGGTGCATCCAGAGGAAATTTCACGAGAAAACTAATGAAATCACTTTTAAAATCTTTAAGTTTTGTGTGAATGAAGTTATAAGCTTTTAAAGTTTCCAAATTTTGTCCGACCTCTCCTATTGACTCAATCCACCGTGTGGCGCATGAATAAAAGTCCGGAAATCAACTAAGCCATCACCTACGACTCTGTGAAAAAGTCAGCCGAAATACGATGTCAAATGCCCTTTTCTTATTGACAGTTATTCCATGGTACTTATTAAAATAAAAATTTGTTCGCAAGGTCCCCGAAAAATTATCTGCAACTTAGATTGGAATTCACCATTCACATTACGGTACAGAGCATTCATACGAAAAGTATGGGAAGATCGACGAACCTTTAGAACCTTTGAAGAAACCTCATAAAATGGCATGTCCATATTCTAGCAATATAGGACCTCCGGTATACTCAGACGACAAGTACGAGGAGGGAAAAATGTGTTCGAGATCCAACGTTTGGTACAGATTGATCTCTGGGGATTTTGTGTCATTCAATCATTTGAACCAAAAACGGCCATTAGACTCCGTCGGTTCACCATCTATTAAATCCTCTCATTATGGGATTTTTTGTGCCTACTTCGTCGTTCCTCTGGCCACCTGAGCCCCAGAAAGCGTCGTGGAGTTTTATGGGATCGCGTGAAATACAGATACACTTTTTTGTCAGAGAACGATGATTTACCATGAAAGAATGTACTTCTAATAACAATGTAAAAAAAAATTTATAAACAAATCTGCACTTATTTGCCCTCTTGGGTGAATTATGACTGCTAAATACAATTTTACCAATTACAATGATCAGCAGAGCACACATTTATTCGTCACAGTTTTGAGAAAAGGGGAGAGCATTTAAATGTTGGGAAATTTTACAGATTTTTTAAATTACTTCTATATGCCCACCATGGCCATTTGCCATTCCCTGAGATTTACAAATTACCCGATTCATATTTCTCTAATTCCAGCGTTGTCGGTTTGGTGGTTCAGCTTGGGAATGGAACGAAAAACGACAACAATATTATCTGCATCAATTTGCTGTACAGCAACCCGACCTGAATTATCGCAGTGCGAATGTCAGGAAAGAAATGGAGGTAAGATTTCACTTAACGTAGATCAATTCCAGTCATCACTAGGTGAATCTCGATAACGTTGACTTTTGGAAGAACTTTTATACTTCACAGAAGATGGCATTCCAGAGTCTCGGAGATAAATTGTCTCCAGCTGACCCGTAAGGAACAGCATCAGCATGGAATTTTATTTTTGTGCGACAAAGGTCAGTACTGCACGGAGAAAATAACGCGTGGGACCCGAAGTTTAGGTCATGGGTGGATTTCTGTAGATTTTCATTTTGCTGTCGCCGGATGATTTCGAGGCGGTAATCTACGGAATATGTCTAACTTATTTTTTTTTTACACTTCGGTAGGTCTTGGCAATCTTAAAAAATTGTTAAATCTACTTTAAATGCCGAAGCATACTTTCGGGAATTTTTTTAATAGTGCAAACGTCAACTCCGGCTAATGTCGCCAGGCTAAANAAATGTGATTCTACATAGTATACTACTTCTAAAAAATGCTTTGTGGATTACCTACTGTAAAATTTTTTTTGAAGGAAAAAAAATTCCTAAAATGAAAATCTACAGAAATCCACCCTCATATGGATCTCTGAAGTTTTCGGATTAAGCATCCGAACACTTAGGATCCAGCTGCTGTGGTTTCGATCACACATCTGAAACTTTGTTCTTACATCTGAAGTACTTCGGTTTTCACATCCGAAAAACTTCGGTTCTCACATCTGAAGTGCTTCAGATGTAAGAACTGCGGTACTTCAGAAGTAAGAACTGAAGTTTCAGATGTGTGATCCGAACCTCGACAGCTAGACCTTAAGTGTTTAGATGCTCAATCTGAAAACTTCAGAGATTCGTATGACCTGAACTTCGTGTCCCGCGCACGAGGTTTTTCTCTCCGTGTGTGCGTAAAAAACATACCTGGTGGGTTCACATGCTAAAAATGTATAAGTATCGCTACTTTTTCCACCCTCTCATCTCGTCGCTACTCTGACGTAAGAAGCGGATCTTAATTTCCACGTGAGCCCCGTTTTACATATAAATCCGTGCTCTCTAGGGCTCACGCTAAAATCGGAATACACCCGAGGGGCGACGATTTGTCAGCGGTGCCATTTGGAACCATCAATTATTATCCTTTTTTCAGCTCCCGTTTTCGGCGTGTCAACTAGGTAGGATCCACGCCCAAAAATACAACGTCACTATTACACACGGAGAAAAAAACTTCGTGCGTGGGACCCGAAGTTGAGGTCATATTGATCTCTGAAGTTTTCGGATCACGTATCTTAAAACTTGAGGTCCAACTGCCGAAGTTCGGGTCAGACATCTGAAGTACTTCGATATATACCGAAGGGTTCGGGTCACACATCTGAAGTACTCCGGTACATACTGAGGTGCCTCGATGTCTGACTCGAACTTCGGCAGTTCGACCTCAAGTTTTCGGATGCGTGATCAAAAAACTTCAGAGATCCATATGACCTCAACTTCGAGCCCCATGCACGAAGTTTTTTTCTCCGTGCATTTTTATCTCATATCGATGGCCAGAGTACAAAACAATCTATCTCTGTTTGTGACATTGCAGACTTCCTGTCATGCTCATTGCTCATTGAAAAACTAATAAGCGTAATTCATCAGAACCTTCCCTCATTTGTCTTCTTCATCAGCAGAATACTCTGTAAAAATTCCAAGCTATAAAGTTGGCTTCTTTCTCTTTGAAGAAATAAAAAAGAAGCAAACACGGCAATGGAGATTCGTGGTTTCGCATTTTAGCCATGGATACGACGGTTCCCACGGAACGCATATAATTTCAGGATGTGCTGCTATTTTGGCTGGACTTAGGAGTTGACGGATTTCGAGTCGACGCTCCGCAGATGCTGTTCGAGGGTGCCGATTTCGAGGACGAACCACCGAACCCTGACTTCAAGGGTGGCGACAACGACGCAGTTTCAGTCCTCCACATATACACCGACCGACAGCCGGAAAACTATGAGCTCATTCAGTCGTGGAGGAGGCTTCTCGACGAGTGCTCTAAAAAAGACGGCGTTACCAGGTAAAGTAGACTGGAATCATGGAATAAGTTTTCATACACCTGTGGTGATCATTGGCAGAACCAGCAAACCGGCAACACCGGTGTTCCTCCATTTATACCCATGGAAATTTATCGATTCTTGGAAGGACCAGGCGCTCCGACAAGAATCGATTACTTAGCATAGGTTTAAATGGAGAAAATTTGGTGTTGCCAATTTGCTGGATCCGCTTCTAGTAGTGATGCCTGTGCGTTGTGGACAACATGGTTTCGTTCATTCAACTGGGTGTAGGACATCGGTGCTCTTGCATGCCACAAGGATTTGCAATGGGCCAGTTGCGCTGGTGTCGGAATCGTGTTTTGGTGTGGTGAATGGTAAAGCTTGATTCTTGTAGATTAACTAAAAATAATGAGATCTATCAATTTTTACATTTAATATTAATGGATATATTCGTTGAACATGACCACACCAGACAAGTTGTTTGGTCATAATTTCATGCACGACGTCTGCTCCGCGTTCATAATCTCACGCACTCTTTCGTTACTTACGTGAACCCTCCTTGAGATTCCGGCTGATCTTCGCCAGAAATCCATCTCAGTTGCCTTAAGAATCTTTTTGGTACGATCTTTCACGGGCCATACGTCACTGCCGTAGGTCAGAATGTTTTTGATTATGGTGTAAAAAATCAATTTTTTTATTTTCTTTCGAGATACTTTCATCCCACAGAATCCTATTTAACATAGCAATAGCTTTCCTTTCCTGCAGGTTCCAATCCTTTATGGCTAGGTCCATCTTCCTATCCTGGGATACTCGAATTCCTATATATTGCATGACATCATCCACGGCGGGAATGACACTCACCACTGGAAACTTGTCAAAGGAAATCGAAAAGGCCAACGTGCATGAAGGCTATTTCAACTGTAATTTTTCCGTCGCATCTCTAAGGCGCAATGATACAACTATTTGAACTCTCCGGAACGCGTGAGGTATCACGCCGCATTTGAAGGCGTTTTGAAATCGGCCAAGTTCCGATACCCGGATTATCGTTTTGCATAGTTCATATTCTTTTGTTTTATTCCGGACCACTTGTTTATTTTTAATCCCCGTATAGAAACCACCCATTTGCCTAATACAATTCTAGCTGGAGTGCACTTCAGCTATGCATTTAATACTGCAAAAATTTTGACGGAACTTGAAAAGGCCAGCATGCATGAAGGCTATTTCAACTGTAATTTTTCCGTCGCATCTCTAAGGCGCAATGATACAACTATTTGAACTCTCCGGAACGCGTGAGGTATCACGCCGCATTTGAAGGCGTTTTGAAATCGGCCAAGTTCCGATACCCGGATTATCGTTTTGCATAGTTCATATTCTTTTGTTTTATTCCGGACCACTTGTTTATTATTAATCCCCGTATAGAAACCACCCATTTGCCTAATACAATTCTAGCTGGAGTGCACTTCAGCTATGCATTTAATACTGCAAAAATTTTGACGGAAATTGAAAAGGCCAGCATGCATGAAGGCTATTTCAATTGTAATTTTTCCGTCGCAATTCTAAGGCGCAATGATACAACTACTTGAACTCTCCGGAACGCGTGAGGTATCACGCCGCATTTGAAGGCGTTTTGAAATCGGCCAAGTTCCGATACCCGGATTATCGTTTTGCATAGTTCATATTCTTTTGATATATTCCGTACTACTTGTTTATTTTTAATCCTCGTATAATAACCACACATTTGCCTAATACAATTCTAGCTGAAGCGCACTTCAGCTATGCATTCACCAAGTGACACCTTTAGTTTCTTCCGCCTTGCTTTCTTCCGAGTTTCACGTTGAGTAACCAGTGCAAGTGTGTGTCTCTCCAACTGATGAAAGCTAGGTGCCACTAGTGCGGTGGGTGACGTCATGAACCGAATTTTTAAAAGGGCAGTATCTCGGTTAATATTAAACGTAGATAGTGGCTAATCGGACGGATCTTATTATTTTTAATTGATGTATAAGAAACAGGCATTAAAACACAATTCAGAGATCAGCGCAACTAACCGCCATTTAAATTGTTCATTCCACGCAAAATTTTGCGAAAAACAGGACGATACCATCGGTTTTCTTTGAAACAAATTCGTGCAAGCTCAAAAAATCCATCGAAATTGAGACAACCATGTAGGAAATCGCCTAAAAAACGGCGAGCGTCCATTCCATCCCATCCAGCCCATTTGTCTGGAGACTTCAAAGCCGCTTCTACGTACTTAATCTGGTCAAACTCTCTGTGCCCTTGAACTCTCACGGTCATGTTTTGCCAATAGGGTAATGTGCACCGAGGACTATGTTGAGACGACGGAGCTGGTGAAATATTTCGGAAATTCTTCGAGTCCAGGCTCTCACGTTCCGTTTTACCTGCTGCAAGCTTACGCGGATCATGAGTGGAACGCAACTACTCTGGATCAGTATGTCCATGCAGAAATCGATATTTATCCCAAAGGATCCTACAACTGGGTGGTGAGTCCGATCCAAAATGTTATGGCTCATTTAAATACTTTAGGTTAGGTTACCCAGCGAGTAATTACGAAATTGCCGATTTTAGCTCCTCCGTAAACACCATACTAGTTAGATCTCTATATCTGGCTGAATCATGTGGATAGCGGCAAATACTGGTAATCCAGGATTGCGCGAAAGGTCCAAGAAAATATATGAAAATTGCTCGGATAGAAACCTTAACTTCTGCTACAGGAATGCACGAATTTAAAATGAAGTTAATTTAAAGTAGAAGTTTGGCAATTCAGGAAACAGTTGGAAAATAAACGCATTTTTATGTTAACCCTTGTTTTGGATAGTTGGTTGACAAGTCATGAATGTCTCACCCTCTGATGATAAATGGAGTGAAAAATTAAATAATGGTCGTGGGTGTAAAGAACTTTCCTAACTTTTTCGGAGAAAATCTTTAATCGACAGAAACGAGGCAACGTTGGAATGCTCATACGGCAACGAAACACAACATGGGCCTTTTAAGCTATATTATTCGATGCCGCGATTATTCTAACGCGAGTTCGAATAATCGCGCCAAACACAGTGCGGCCGGCGGTGAACGTATATTGGCGCCTGCAAGACTATGTGAATACTTCACGCATTGCGCCAAACAGTGCGGTCGCCGTAAATCCCATATTAGCGTCTACAAAACTGCATGAATTAATACTTCTCGATGATATTTCAATAATCAGCCCTGCGGATTGACATTTCATCATCGTTTACATCATGACATTGTATCCATATAGCTTATCTATGTTGTGATATCATTGTTTCAGCTGGACAACCACGACAACCCGCGGAGCTCGGCGCGGTTCTGCGAGGAGAGCATGGACTCGTGGAATATGTTGACGCTCCTCATGCCCGGAGTGGCGAGCATCTACTACGGGAGCGAGCTCGGGATGTTGGACATGAACCCGCGTCACGATCAACGCCAGGATCCTCTCAACGGCGCCGGAACTCGAAGCGATCCGAGGGACTCCTCCAGAGCCCCCATGCTCTGGGATCATACGAAAAATGCCGGTGAGTTACACATACCATGCGTGAAAAAGAAACCTCTGATTCGAGAAGTTCATTAAGTGATTGGTTCAGTTCAGAGGACTGAGGGCCGTATTTGTACACTGAAAAAAAAATCTCGGTGTATTTACCAAGAAAAGGGTAAAATTACCAAGAATTCAGGGTTCTATTTGATACCAATTTTTTCTTTACCGAGAACTTTGAACTTTCTCGGTAATTTTACTAGACCTTGGTAAAAACGCCAATATTTTTTATCGACTGTGGTATAATTACCGAGCTAAAACGGCAAAGTTACCTGTAATTGATTACCAATAAAAGTGGTATTCTTACCTGAAAAAAAAAACAGTAAAAATACCGGTTTTTAGGTAAGCTTACCAGTCTGTCTTGGTAAAAAAAAGTGAGATGGTAAAGGTACCAACGGACCTTGGTAAAAACGCCGAAAATTTTCTTTCAGTGTAGATAACTCTTATCTTTAATTCTCGATACACGATCAAATTCCGAACCAATTCTGATCAAAGTAGACCAGTTGATGAAGGAATTATCACTTTCTGGCAAATGTTAACTCCAACATCAACATCTCCCCTAAGATTAAGCTAGAATGACGTTTCTACAATTTGATTGCATGAGGCTTGCTTCGGGTATTAGAAATTAAAAAAAAATAATCCTCCGTTGAATTTTTGTCGATTGCCAGTAAATTAAATTAATGTTCATAACATTGAGTTTCAAAAAATTAACCTTCGTCAAAATATCACCCTGAGCATATTTTTTCAGGTTTCACGACAGCTGACAAACCGTGGTTACCAGTGCATCCGAACTATTGGAGGGGTAACGTCAAATCACAGGAGCAAGATCCAAGTAGTCATCTTAATATTTTTAAACGATAGGTGACATTGAGAAAAACTCCCGTTGCGATGCACGGTGATCTCAAAACTTACGTGCTCAACACTTGGGTTTACATGTTCACCAGGTAAGTTTCGAACAACTAATGCGCGTGCGGCAATTCTCTCCAAAAAATGAGTTTTTTTTCTTTTTCATCAATCTATGTAGGAGACATATTTCGAGCCCTCCAGAGTCTGCAAAAAAAGAAATTTACTAAGACAGCAACATTTTAAACTCCGTAGTTGATTTTTAAACATTTTCAAGTGTTCTTTTTTTGCATTATGAGTATTTTTTTCCCTTTCCTTAATAAAAATCTATGTGGGGCACGGTATTGTGTCGAGTTCGTTATGTCCAAGTACACTTTTTCATTTATTTAATTATTGCCTCCTCAAATGTAATCCTTGATTAATCAAAATTAGAGGTCTACATATACCTATTACATTAAGTTAACAACAAAGCCTCCTTCCAGAAATAGCTTAGAAATGTCAGATCTCTTCTGCTGGGGATTTAGACTGTTCGATCAATAATGAGGAAATACTTAATGATTGCAGGTCGATTAACGATGAGACTATCGCAGTGTTGATGAACGTCGGATTAGAAACTGAGGAAATCTGCGATCTCAGAATTACTGCGAAAGAATTACCAGAGATTATGTATGTTCATACAGCCAGCATCAATTCAGCGATTAAAATCGGGTAAGATATATGTGTACTTATACTATATCGACGGTGAAACTACCAAACCACGTATCTCGTTTGCGGTGTTTAAAAATCTACGCTCACATTTTATTTTTTTGAAGTAGACCAAATCAATATCATTCTTTGAAATTTTCACGGAATTTTCTCCGCACGAAGAGAAAAAATCACAGAAATTTTCAAGACTGGATGTTGAGTAGTTTTTCATTTAAAAAATAAAGTATGACAGGAAGTCTGCGACGTCGCAAACCGAGATACGTGGTTTGGTAGTTTCACCGTCGATATGTACTAGTACTTACATCTCTTTACTCGCCACTAGCAACTGAAAGACTTGCAAGAACAAAACCTCCCTCTATTGGAAGCTTTACAAATTGAATATACTAAGCTACCTAGTAGAGAGTGGACACTTAAAAAGCATCCTAACATTTTAATTTTTTTTTTTTATTTTTTGGCAAACATTTTTTTTTAAAAATAATATAAATCTCCCGCATAAACTTTTAAGTCGCCGTTTATAGAACGTACCTCGTAACCTTACTAAAAACATTTATCATACTAATGATATTTGATCTATTCTTATAGGGATAAAGCGAATTTCACTGGACCAGAATGCCTGTATATGAGGCCACAGTCAGGACTAGTTCTCGCAAAAAGTCATGGAATTGCCGTCTCCAGCTCTATTGTAGTTCTTCTTGCCACAGTTTGCTCAAGAATGCTGTTATAATATGTAACAGCGCGAGGTTCCTTTAAAAGTGCTCGATGGTGCATTTGCTTGATACTTTTGTAGTTCTGAAAGTGTTAAACTATTCTACCTTCATAAAACTTGATAATGCTGATAAACCAAAATAAAGCACCATTTAAAGATCCAAGGAATGTTTTGATTTCATGCGATGTATTCAATTTTGGTAGTGACGTATATTATAGGTCCATTTCTTTCGTTCCCTCTCTTTCTTTCCCCTTCACTGTATTCCGGTTTATGACGTTTGAATCGCTATTTTTACGGCATGCAACTCTTCGCGCACATAGGAATGGTATTGCCTATACGACTAGTTGAAGGGGTTTTTCGTTGCCTTGAGATTCAGTGTGGATATGCCAGGGCATCACAACGCTGACGTTTCAGATCTTAACTATATTAACAGAACCATACCTCTTTAAGAGCCTATAATCGGAAAGTCGTTCGTTATTTGATCTCAAGCTAACTGCTTTTTTTAAAGTTTAGTTGTCTAACTGTCCTGCGTATATTTTTTCTCGAGTAAAAACAAAGAATTCAATATCGTAAACAATCTGGTGGGCTAATACTCTTTCCTCAAATCAATTCTTATCCTAAAAAATTTCCAATGAAAAAAAGTTTTTCTTCCAGTAATGTTTTCCTGGTAATTTCTAAAAATGTGACAAAAATGAACCTCGGTCACAGAGTGAACCGCGGTGAATGAAACTGTGGATAAGTGGCGATGAAAAGGCAAAAAGGAAAAATAAGAAAACATAACACACGAACAATTTTTTTTTTTTTGACAAAAAAGAGAAGAAGAAAAGAAAAAAATCTTTCAGCATGGGTTTGAATGAAAAACCAATTCGATTATCTGCACAATTTGTCTGATCATTTGTTTAAAATTTTACCAGCATCCTCCAGAGAAAAAGGGTACTCGGAGTCTTGAGAAAATAAAACCGAAGCTCTATGTCTTTTTGAGCGTTCACCACGTTAGTAGTGGACGCTCTTTCCCGTCGTTTTGCATCGGGTATGTTTCTAATGTATCCATTGGTAAAGGCTCCATGGGAATCGGCGCTATTTTTCGTGGCGGGAAGCAATACCTAGTTTCTCAATTTTTTTTATGTACCATTTCTACCTTATTTCTCCTATTTTGTCCACTTTATGTAATGCCTGTAGGCTTGTCTTTAAGAAATTAATATCTCAACGTTTTAAAACTCTGCAACGTACTTTTATTTAATGACTCTTTCAAGGATCGTTCAAATTTTTAGTCGTCGGAGATCTAAAAAAATTGTTGGGTACAAAGTACCCCTTCACTTATGACCCCTATATTTTACTCTATGAAGACAAGTCATTTTTTAGATGTATGTTTCCTAGGTTACGCTCCACGTTTAATTCAATAGCGTCTTGCAGCGTTCTCTTCCGTCCGCGCAAAACTTTTTTTTACATATTGACGAGGTGCTACGGTGAAAGCAGATCTACTCCCCTACAATCAACAGAAATACAAACCCACTTACATGCGATGAACCCAATATTACTACCAAAATTCTTAAACTCTTCACTACTCTTCACCTCTCTTAATTTAAAAATCTAAATTTTCGTATATACTCCCATTTTCAAAATTATCTGTAAAGACGTTAATAGCCTGTGACGCTGAATGTCTCAAAATATACTAACTAACTAACGCTCCAATGTCTTAACGTTGGAACCGTCGTCTTGTTTCCTTTGCGGAAAATTTCACTTTTCAAAGTGTGCACTTTGAAAAAAATGGCATTGAAATAACTCTTATTTCGCCGACGATTACTTTTAAGGCGTATGCCAACACCGTCAAGGGTTCCAAGTTTAGGAGTCCAAATCCTTCAATCTCTTTGCACGGAGAAAAAAAACTCGTGCGTGGGACCCGAAGTTTAGGTCATATGGATCTCTGAAGTTTTCAGATTGAGCATGTGAACACTTTAGGTCTAGCTGCCGAAGTTCGGATCATACATCTGGAACTTCAGTTCTCACATCTGAAGTCCTTCAGATGTGACAACCGAAGTACTTCGGGTGTGAGAACCGAAGTACTTCAGATGTGAGAACCGAAGTACTTCAGATGTAAGAACTGAAGTTTCAGATGTATGATCCGAACTTCGGCAGCTAGACCTAAAGTGTTCAGATGCTCAATCTGAAAACTTCAGACATCCATATGACCTAAACTTCGGGTCCCACGCACGAGTTTTTTTTCTCCGTGTGGTACACTGTATTTTATTTATTTATTTATTTATCTATATATCTATCTATCTATTTATCTATTTATTTATTTATTTATCTATTTATTTATTTATTTATTTATTTGGTTTTATATCAGTGGTCTGATTTTTATACACCAATTATTTACGATTACAAATACATATATTACTCTACTCCAAAGCACTTTAATACGGATGCTGCAAGCAGATGACTTAAAATTCGATCTCAGTTGTTATCATTGTGAATTTATCTCAAATCGAGTTGTTAGGCGTACTTTTTTAGATTCAAAACCATACGAGTATCTACCGTAGAAGAATGGAAAAAACATTTTCAACGTTGACCACCACCAAAAATGAGACCCTAAACAAGCACAGCAGATGATGACCGTCAAAAGTTAGCAACAGCCCATCCATTAAAAGTCACCATAATTTTTTGGGATCTTGAGGATCTCAGAAGGACGTATTTAAATACAAAGGAAATATCCGTTTGTGGCATGAGCATTGAGCCATGCAATGAATATAAACTTTTGGATCTTAAGGCTAATGTCAGAGTCGATATAGTTCCTTTTGATTTAAATACCTTCAATGTGGCTCAAGATCTATACTCTCTCGTGTGAAGGTACTCCGGTGACCTCTGAAAGCCATAAGAAAATGCATTTTAACACTAAACGTGAGAGAGGGCTCGCTCTAAGTTCCAGTGGCGTGGCGTGAATTGCGATGTATCAATTGTTATGCCGTTTAAACCTATGGTAAAAAATCGATTATTAAGGTGTTCGCTGCGAACACCCTATTTATCGATCCTTTTTCTTAGGTTTAAATGGCATAAAAATCGATACATCGCAAAGCACGCCACGCCACTGCTAAGTTCATGCAGCCGCTGCAGAGGAACTACTTCGTAAAGTCTTCTCTCTGCACGCCCGCTTTTCAGTGACGAGGTGTGAATGATCGATTGTCGATTTTTCTCCATTCGAAACTGTGGCAAAGAATCGATTATTAAGGTGTCCGTTGGAAACACCTTTTTTATCGATCTGCTCCCATAGGTTTAAGTGGCAGATCAATCGATATATCGCAAAGCACGCTACGCCACCGCCGCTTTTGAAAGCAATTACTCCCGCGAACGGGTTATGTGTGCAAATATAATTAACTGCAAACGGGAATGATGTATAACGCTTCCACACTCGTTTCATGACTTTTCGCTTCCATACCTTCTGGTTACCCCGTACCATTTTTACGACTGCCATTCTCCGATTCGTGTATTTATAGCATTTGCGTACTTTTTCTCGTGATTGGTACGTGTTTTCGATGACGGAAACAGAGAAACCTCGCCATTTTTTACCCGTACGGTCAGTATGTTGAGTTGTGAAATGCATTTTAAATGATACTCGCTCGAAAGATGTGTTCGAACGAGCTTTCAACTTTCCCGCGCGTTGTTTGAATCCTCGGTAAGCCGCGCCTTTATAATTTTTTTTAAAGGAAGAAAATGCGATTATTTCGGCAGTTGATCGATAAAGTGCCGCGAAAGTGAATTCATGGCATATCAACAAAGACTGGATTTATTATTTTATTTTTGAAAAAATAATGATAAATAAAATTAGCTTGAATCTAAAAAGTCAAACACTCACATGTTAAAACACATGGAACTATGTTATTTTAAATAAAAAATAAAAACGAAAACCACCTTTTTCCGCTACCGATTTCAACAAGGACATCGCTCCAAGCGATGCTCACATTTCTAGTGGTTGTTCTGTGGTGCTTTGAGGTTGTGTGACTGGTAAAAAAAACCCTCTTGGTTCAAGAGTGCAGTTTCTTGTCGCCGGATTTAAGAGTCTGGACTCTTGTTTCAATGCAAAATCCGCTTGAATCAATGCAAAATCCGCTTGAAACAAGAGTTCAAGACTCTTAAATCCGGCGACAAGAAACTGCACTCTTAAGTCAATGCACCGCGGCATTGGTCCAATAGGTTTTTTTTTATACCAGTGTAACTTCATGAAAAGGGTATCAACACTTGGCCCCATCAAGCATATTTACTGGTTGAAAATGGTCCCTGCGTTTATTTGTTATCAGAAATATATCACTATTTTTTCGGGTTACCCATAGATTCAACCCTCAAACCTGATTTCTAAATCCAGCGCAACTACTCCATTATTCTGGGTCCCGCACCTGTGTTTTATCTCCGGATGGAATCTGCGTGGAAAATCGCAGCGTTACGGCTTAGCTCGGGATGGTAGTCCCGGAGGAGGACTTTCTCGCGAAGACGAGAGGTGCGATGAGCGGGCATTCTTCAATTTGCGTCCCGGTGCTCCGGACCGGGCGTTACGGGAGCCGGGGCCGGAGCTTAGCGCGGGTTCCCGGAGGCTGGAATCTAAAACAAACCAATTTACGGCCCCGGCCGGCGTAATTAGGGAAAGTACTTTCGATTTGACCCGCGGGCCGGTAACTGGCCGTCGTTCGGATTGCACTGACCCGAGCAGGACTCAGATACCGCGGATGCTCACTTTTCAGCTATTCAATTCCGAGTCGTAAGTTGCACCCTGCCTCCACCGTTGCCAGGGCACCCGACAGAATCCACCTTCTTTCCCAAAGCCTACTTCCATAATGTAGCTCTTGCATACCTCAAGAATTTGCGGTTACATTCCTTTATCTTAAGTGAAACTGTGCAAGAAACACGATGAAGTCATTCATATGGACTGCGTTAAGCAGAATGGAACCAAGCCATATCAGTTATTGCCAAATTTAAAGCCCTGGATAGACGATCAAATTCCGAACCAATTCCGATCAAAGTGGACATGCTGATGACTGATGGTCACCATCTACCATCAAATTTTGACGTGCCGCACTTATTTGTTCAAAGTAAGATCAGAATGGAGTGCCACCATTCATCATTTCCTGCCACAGGAAACATTTCTGCCAAGTTTT